TCAGTTGCCGTTCCGCCAAGTCTCAATCATTTTGCAATATATAATCCTACCTTTGGACCTACAGAAGAAACACAGCAAGATCAACTATTATTTTATGTATCAAAGAAAACAGTTTCAATGGACGTCAAAATGCGTCAAATTGGTTTGGCTCAGGGTTTAATTAACTTTACAAGGTTAGCTTTTTTTTTGCGATTTACTTTAAAAAAAAATATCGCTGGTGGAAGTTTAGTGATCCGATGAAATATTATAATTGAATATAATTTCTGCACCACAACGTAGAGCATTTTCTCCAGCAAAGGCTTGTGAAAATGTTCATACACAAAAAAATCGAATGGTATTTCATGAACCGGAAAAAAATTATTGGATATATGTTGTAAGTCATCCAAATATGTAAGAAAGAAATTTGAATTTTGTACAATTTATTTTTTTTTTTAAAAAAAAATTTTTGATTATTTTTACAAATTAAAGTCCATCGAATTAGGTTACATGAAAAAATTAACGAAGGATAAAGATGGTAAACCGAAAACTGTCACTGAATATCTCGATCCGAATTTACATGATTCAGGAATAAAAAGGATGCTTGAAATGGGGTACGAAATGTATAGAGTAAGTAATGAATTAATTTAAATACAATCTTTTTGATCACATTATAAGAAAAATCTTAACAATGTTTTAGGTGTTCAATGGTACTTTTGAATCGACAGTAAAAACTTTGGGAGTAAAGGCTTTAAGAATTAAATTGGAAGAATTTTTCTCAAATTGGGTTCTTGAATGGGATTTTGATAAAACAGAATTGACAAAGACAATTGATGGTCAGCATTCTTAACGAAAAAAAAAAAAAAAAAACCCAAGAGAGCTTTGTTAAAGCAGAATTATGTAAGATTATGTAAGATTCATTTAACTATATCTATATTTATTACTATAAAAATAGGCATTTTTTATCTTCCACTTTCCAATTCAGCCATTTCGAAGGTTTCATCATTTGTTGAACAGATTCAAACGGAGTATAAATTTATATCAGAGATAATTGTATTGTGGCAAAGTAAATTGGTATACAATGGTGATAGAAATAGAGGTATATCAGAAAATGACTTAAAGAGCATATTACGACATCTAGTTCCTTTGATATCGGAAAGAGATGCACTTGAAAGAGAACTACTTGAGAAAAAGAAGAAATCTAAAGAAGCTGAAAAGGTACGTTCACTTTTTAGTGAAGTTAGTGAAGTAGAGAATATTTTCACAATAGATTATTTTAGGCTAAGTTTCATGCAACATTCTTTTTTTAGTTATCACTCAAAGGTTTTACCCGAAATTTCTCTGGAAGTAACCTCTTTTCATATTTTTCATCAACCATTTCCCCAAGTACATCACCGCCTAACAACACGTATGCTAGTAATTCATCAACTCAACATGATACATCACATTCTTCGTCGAATTTGACACCATCTACAAATTTCTTGTTGGGACCATCACATTTGAATGTAGATGATAACGACATAAAACCTTTGAAGGTATATTTGACCAAAAAGGTAACTGATACCTTCGAAGATGATATCGCTGAAACCGATGATGAATACGAAGGCAATGTTGAAGGATATTTTCTCGTTGCATACAAGGTAGATCAATAATAATAATAATACTTATTTATTGATTTTTTTAAGTAAATTATTCTGAAAAATTTTTTTTTAATAAATTCATCAGCAAAATGATCTTACACTTGTTTTCCTAATACCGAATACCTTGCCAGAAGGCAATACAAAAGTTTATGATATAACATTTTACAAATCTATAAACAAATATTTATCATCAAATTCAGATGATATTATAAAAATCATGAATGAAGATTATGAACTTTCCAAAAAACTTGGGTATTTATAAGATTTTTGTTATTTTAATACACAATTTTTTAAACAATTACTGAATTAGAGAGCTTTATCAGATCTGATACAGATAAAGAATATCGCTATGTGTTTTTTAATAAACTTAATTTGGCCATTAAATCATCGCTTTATCCATTTTCTGCCTCTAATGGAACATCATCATCCAAAGGATTAACCATCACTGGCGAAATGGCACATGCACTATGTGATTTACATGAAGATCTAGAAAAGTAAGTTTCATTTTATAGTCTTATTTTATAGTCTTTAATCGACCTTAATTAATTTTAATGAATTATTTTCAAGGTATCCACATTTAACAGAAATTTATACACGATCAACAACGAATTTTTGGATTGTGGGTAGGAGATCTGACAGTCGAATGTTATATGTTGTTGTACCTAAAAAAGAAGTTTCTTTGATGGAGGTCGAAGGTAATAATTTTTTAATTTATTCGAATAAATCTTTAACGTTATATTTAATTTTTTTTCATTTTAGATGATGTGAGAAAATTAAGTAATTTACAATTTTCTGGATTATATTAATTAACGATCAATTCATCGCAATTTGTTATAATTTATTATAATAATTTTTAAAAGGTCGAATTTCGCATTTTATTATTAAAGATTTGTAAGCTATGTTTCAGATCGGTATTATAATAGTAAAAAAAAAAAAAAAAAAAAAAAACTTTAAAGGAATTTAACATAAAACTTTGTAAACATTTTGTATCTCTCAAACTACTAAAGTAATTGAAGAAGACGATATTACAACTAACACTTTTTTTAAAGCTATAACAGTTTGAAATTCTTTATTTGCAAAGAAATATCATAAAATTTAAGAAAATAATGTTTCACGCAGTAGAAAGAAAAAAAAAAAAAAAAGGAAAAAAAAATCGAGAATTTCTTTTTACCTTCTATACATGTTTTTTTTTATTTACATGATTTGAAAAAAAAAAGTAAAATGAAAAAAATATAAAAGATAAAAAAAAAAAAAAGGCATGTCTAGTACCGTATTATAAGTATTAAGTCGTTTTACAAAAGAAGTATGCAAGTAACTTTTTGTGAAAAAAATATCTGAAAGTAGATAAACTTAAAACGAACTTTTAAAGTGAGAAAAAGAAATATAGAGGAATAAAATCCCAAACATTAAATGTTCATTTAATTTCTTCCCTAAATGTTTAAAACTTCTTTATGCTTCAGCTGCGGCAGCACCCTTCTTCGATTTCTTCGGCAAAAGATTTTGGTGAATATTTGGTAGAACACCACCTTGAGCGATTGTAACATGACCAAGTAACTTGTTCAACTCTTCGTCGTTACGAATGGCAAGTTGAAGGTGACGAGGAATAATTCTTGACTTTTTATTATCACGGGCAGCATTTCCAGCAAGTTCAAGAATTTCAGCAGCAAGATATTCAAGGACGGCAGCAAGATAAACAGGAGCACCGGCACCAACTCTTTGAGCATAATTCCCTTTACGAAGTAAACGGTGAATACGACCTACTGGAAATTGAAGACCTGCTTTAGCTGAACGAGATGAGCTAGCTTTGGTGGGGGCAGAAGCTGCAGATTTTCCACCGGACTTTCCTCCAGAAGACATGTTGTAATAGTATATATGTATTAAGATGTTAAACGTTAGGTGTGATAAATAAGACTTAATGGGTAAAAGAAATTTTCAGGTCAATGAATCTTGAAAAAAAATTAGAAATCAAATTTGGGAAATAGCAGTGATTTTATAGTAAATTTCTACGCCGCGCTTCAAGTCACAGATCATTAATCGGATGATGATGATGTAAACAAACCAGATGATTTGGGTAACGTGTCTGTAAAGGTCGAACAAAACAATCCATCCAAACAATAAAGCAATTACACGAGCACGTTATTTGGACAAGCCACCATTTAAGTTAATCATACGCGTCACGAGTTTCCTAACGCGTGACTTTGTTACAAATTTAGACTAATTCTTTCAAATATAGTAAAAACCATATTTGGATTTTTTTTTAACTTAAAAAATATATAAAATCAAAACGAATCAAAACACAAAGCGCGATTTTACGTGTCCTGATCTTAATTGTGTTTTTGTATAAAAAGACCTCAAACCTGACTAACTTTTTATTATTTTACGAATATTATATCTTTTAACAATTCAAAGTCAATTTCCCTTGTAAATAAAAAATTTTTTCTTAATCCCTTCAATACTTTTACGAATCAAATCAACAATCAACAATGGGTTTGAAAGCCGAAAAGAAGCCTGCTACCGCCGGTAAAGCTCCTGCGACCAAAGCTCCTTCTGAGAAGAAAGATACCAAGAAAACTACTGCCCCTGGTGAAAAATCCAAGAAACGTAAAGTTAGAAAGGAAACATATTCAAGCTACATTTACAAAGTTCTCAAGCAAGTACATCCCGATACTGGTATTTCCAACAAAGCCATGTCAATCCTCAACTCTTTTGTCAACGACATTTTCGAACGTATTTCCGGTGAAGCTTCTAAACTTGCGGCTTACAACAAAAGATCAACTATTTCTTCTCGGGAAATCCAAACTGCCGTTCGTTTGATCTTACCTGGTGAATTGGCAAAACATGCAGTATCCGAAGGTACCAAAGCTGTTACTAAATACACAAGCTCTAAGTAAAGGAAAGGAAATGTTAGATTCGTTTAAAGGAGGGTTGCCTTATTTAAGAAGCATATAAAAACGAAAAATTAATATAAAGTAGAACATTGCTATTTGCATAATATTGTTTTTATTTCATCATATAATTTTTATATGTTTCTACGAATTCTTTTTTATCCTTTTTTTTTTTTTCATTCTTCTATTAATTACAAGGGTAGTATCTTTTATTTTTTCTTTATTTCGTTAGAGACTCTTTTTCTTATTCTTTCTTAAATTCGCTTGTATTGAATAGCTCTTTTTAATAAATAAGATTTATGTAAAGTCTTATAAAACATTTTATTTCATGAATTAAAATAAAAGATACGTTGTAAATTTTTTATGCGAAATACAAATGTTTATTATTAATAATAGAAAAAAAAAAATAAAGGAAATGGTTTTTTTTTGTTAAAATTATTAACGATTAACGATATTTACAAATTATCGAATATTTTGATTATAAAAAACAACCAAAAAATTAGTTCAAACAATATTGTATAATCTTTAATGTATTTATAGAAAGGTTCGGCCAAAACGTTGAAAGTATTTGAAATACTACATCATCTTTTGTTATTTCACCTTGTATCATTTCCATGCTTAATTTTTCCCTTAATTCTCTAATATATTTCAAAGAATCTAATAATATATGTTTATCTGGTATCTCATGATAGATAAGCCATGTCGCCAAATATTGCAATAACTTCCTTTTACTCTCTTCCCCTCCAAGTTGTTCAGCAGGTGGAAATTCTGTATTCGTAAAATAGGAATATAAAATTTTTGAAAAATATCTTCGTACTTGACTGGTATTTGTGTCGGTTGTGCTTGATGTCGATGAATATTGAGATAGAAAAAATATAAAAGTATCAAAAGAAATTTCGAAATATCTCTCCATTAAAAGCCTTAAAGATGCTATAAATTCTTTCTTAATAAGCATCTTCTCAGTTAATCGACCCTTATTTTTTTGATGTTCTGCATTATCCTCATTGCGATATATTATTTCTGGTATGTTTTCATAATACTCAAGAACTAACATAACATTCCATAAATCCATTTCATTAATTCCCTCTATGTCTTGTTGAATTTGATAAAGCTTTTGATAAATTTGAATCGCCTCCACTTTATCTTCATTCAAGCATTCTGAAAGGATTCCTGTACAAAATGCTGATAATGCTTGTCCATCATCATTAGCATTAAAATCTTCACAAAGGTATCGTGTAAATGCTTGTACTTGCGGATCAGATGAAAAAATTCTAATAAAATCGAGATTTTGTCGCCTAAAAGTTGCTTGATTTCTAGTATCTACCAATGATTTACCATCAGGAAAAATGCGCGTGAGTAAATTACGTAGACCTTGAGGATCCTATAAAAAAAAATATATATATATATATATTATATATTAATTTATGTCTCAAAAAAATTATAATATTAGCATCAAGTAAACTTTACCTCTGTATACGTTAGATGTCCAATCTTTCTTTTTGTATATATAGTTGGATCTTTCCAAAATTTGCGATCAAATTCTAAATTTTTTCCAAATTCCAATCTTATAGGCCAATATCTTGGACTATCAATTTCAATTGTTTGAATAAAATTTGATTCAGGTAACAAACAAGGTGCAACTATTACTTTGTTTTTACTATCAACTAAAATTTCTTTTCTACCATCATCTCTTATTACTTTTATAGCATTATAATAATCTTTAAATAAAAGTTTTACAGGAACGTGACAAGCTTCCCTGGTCTCAATATCCCTTAAAATTAAACATCTTGGTTCAACAGCCAATACCCATAAATGTCTAAAAGCTTGCAAATGTGCCCTATTATCATATGGCTCAATTGGATATCTTGGAAATAATGCACAAACTAATCCTGCTATCGCTTTATTAGACGTTGAAAGTGTAAAATTTCCTCCTCCAAGAAATAAGAATCCTAATGCCATACTCGTTACCATATGTGTTCCATATGAATGTGAAATAGTGCTTGAATTACTGGTATCAACTTCTTGTCGATGAAGTTTACGTATTCTTCGTAAAACTTCTAAATTTCCGCTACCTGCAGCAACTATTGAAACGCTCGTAGATAAAACGTTCAAACAAGATTTGATAGCCGACATTGTAATATTTTCATCAAACGTTGATGCTAAAAAAATTTACGAGTATAAATCAGAATCTATATATAGAATCTATATATACAATCATAAAAAATATTACCTCTTGTTCTTGTACTCTCTAATCCAATAAATAAATCAAGATAAGAAAGTAAACATCTAAGGGCCTTTTTATCATCAGATCCAGCATATTTAAGTGCCATACTGAAACAAGCTCCTGATAATATATAATAATATGATCTCTTAATAGATTCAATGTTTTCATAATTAATATCAGGATTAGGTGTTAACTTTGATTTTATATATTGAGGTACATGACTTTCAACCCATTCTTTTGTAGATTGAATACTATCCCACATTATCAAATTTCTTGCAAGTGTCCGGATCAAAAGAAAATCTGGTCGTACATAATCCAAAAAAAACTCGGTTTCAGGAATAGGAATTTTGTTTGCAATACTAACATTATTGGTTTTCAAATATAATAATCCAAGAGCTATCGTCGCTCCTGGTGATGTAATGTTAATGTTAATGTTATCAGACCTAACATTCGTATTATGCGTTGATGTTGATAATTTTTTTGTTGTGTATTTATCACCAGAGATATATAATCTCAATTCTTTGAGCAAATCAAGGTCAATAGACGCACGCGTATTATCACCTTGACCCAAATTTATGAATCCAAGTGCTAATCCAGCTGCAAGTGAGTAACCTTCTGTAAAATCAGTTTCAGAACTATCTGACATTTTTAAAGCTTTGGTCGAAATTTCAGATAACATGACCTGAGACATATATCGATCACATGTTCCCATATAGAGTAATCCACAGCCAAGAATAGACGCTGTTTGAATTAAAGGTGATACATTCAAACTAGTAGATTTTGGTGGGAACATAGCAGTAACATGTACAGCTATAAATTTCATAATTTCTGCATTCATCGTTCCAATATAAGAAGCTGGTAGGCCAAGTACTAAAGCAATGGTTGTAATATCATGCTTGGGCGTCTTCATCAAATATTCGACTGCTTGCCATGTTGCCATAGACTTCAAATGACCATTCAATCCTAATCCCAAAAGAAATCCAGCATGGCTATTTGTTAATTCCTTGGGCTTGTTAAGAGAAATCCATGACCCTTCGATGTCAATGGTTGAAGGAATTCGTAAACCCGATGCTACGCCATCATGAAATTCTGGCCATTCTGCAGACTCTGGTAGTCGAAGTGCCCGCTCAGCTTGAACAAGAGTGTTGAAAGGCAATACTTTGATTGCCAAACTTAATCCAGGAATCGGAAAAGGTTCCGTGGCTATTGGTGTAACAGTGCTATAAGTTAAGACTGCACGGCCAACTGGATGCGAAAAATTTTTCAAACATTGAATTTGAACACGTTCAAGTATCTGTGGTGAATTTTCGTCATTCTGGCTACTAATTTTTTGTAAAATAAAATAAGTTAATGTCAAATGCAAAAATCACCATCTTCATCTCAAGAGTTCATTCCATAATATATTTTAAACAAACCTTAAATCTACTGTAGGAATGTCAACTCTGATAGTATTACAAGATTGTAAAAGTTTTTGTACTTCTAACAATCTTTTATCATTGCCAAACCTTAGATCTGTTATTTCATGATTTGATATCTCTGTTCCATTAATATCTTCATTCTGATCTTGTGGTGAAATCGGAGGTATTGTCGATTCAACAATTTGCATAATATTTTTTGTTTTCGTTTCCTGAAATTTTTTTTAAGACCTTAATTAATAATAAACTTTATAAAATACCAATTACTTATATTTTTTAATATAATACCATTCTGTTACCACGGGCATGTATATAACCAATCGGCATTCCAAATGATAATTCAGCTAAATCTTCTCGACCTGAAAATATTATTAACAAATAAAATAGTATAAAGTTTATTTCATAATTAAAAAAATTAACGTAAATTTAAATGTACATACCAACAAGTATATAGGCTTCCCCAGGCCAATCGCTTGGAGGATCCTCTTGGCACTTCCTTATAGCTTCACGTAAAGGAAGCGCAAGACCGCACGGTAATGCTTCAATATCATTAATAGTATAACCTATGTTCACTATTTCAAGAATCATTGACTTTTCCCCCTCATTAATTAATTTGTGATAAATAGCACACACTTGTCGAGTTCTCTGACAACAATCAAAATCATGAACCAAATTTTCATTTAATTCTGGGATAGAAAAAATTTGACTAATATTCAAAGGTGTTGGAAAAGATGCCTTCGCTTCCGTTGGTTTTTTAATGCACTTTAAGATCCATTGATTAATGTCAGGTGGAAAAAAAAAGGGATGGTCGGGATTTAACACCGATTCTATGATCACAGCTAAAGGAGAGATTATAAAATTTAATAGAAAGTGACATGAAATAAAATACAAATATTATAAATGAGATTGAACAACCTTCTATAAGTTTCAATTGATTCATTCCATAATTTCGCTTATAATAATCTACATAAGTATCCCATTTTATGAATTTAGCTAGCTGCATCAACAGCGGAATAAGTTCATTAATATATTGATGAGATGTATAATTTAACTTCAAATCTTGATAAACCAAATGAAGAGAAATGAGAATAGAAGGTAAAAATGTTGAATATCTATTTTCTAATTGACAATAATATGTATAAAAAGCTTCGTAAAGTCTCTGTGAATTTTTAAACGAATTAATCATTACATCATTTTCTACTATCGCTGAAGGTTGAATACACTGAAGATGGTTGTTGAAATTGAATCTAGAATGTTTAAAGGTCGATGAAAGAAAATTCCAATCACTCTTGTCAAGTTCTATAAGGGATTCCTGGTCAATTGCATCTTGACCTTTCAAGCGGAAAAATGATAGTAAAATAATAATAAAATTTTCCCATTCTGAGCCTCTTAATATATCCCTAAATTCTTCTTTGTTACTATATTGAAACAAGAAATATTGAGCTTTGAAATCAAAATATAAAGCTGTTGGTAATGCAAAGCTTAAGGTTTCCAAGCATGTACGAACAAGCTTTGAATTGGGAATAAAATTTAAACTAATTCGTATAATATTGTTTTTTAAGACCAAATTTACTCG